CCCATGTGGATTGGAAACATCGTATCATTGAGAAAGAAGGATGGAAATATAAGAATTTGTATCATTTTTCAAAACTTGGATCAGATATGTTCGAGGAATGTTTATTCCTTACCAATCAATAAATTCAAGATTGAGGAAGAAGTTGTCGCTGTGAACCATGTGAATATTGATGAAACTTTAGAACTAGAAGGCTCAACTTTTGATGATGAGCCTGAACCAGCACCATTGAATTTTGAAGAAGGAGGGCAAGCCACTGATGATGATCTAAAGCAATTGAATCTAGGAACGGAAGATGATCCAAGACCAATATTCATCAGCGCTCTTCTAAAATCTCAAGAGGAAGGTGAGTACTTTAAAATATTACAGGAGTATAAAGATGTTTTCACATGGTCATACAAAGAAATGTCAGGGCTTGATCCCAAAGTTGCAGTTCATTATCTTTCTGTTAAACACGGAGTTCGCTCTATTAAGCAGTCACAACGAATATTCCGTCCAGAACTAGTCTTGTAGATTGAAGCTAAAGTTAATAAGTTGATAGGCGCTGGATTCATTCGAGAAGTCAAATATCCAACATGGATTACTAATATTGTGCCTGTCAAAAAGAAAATAGGAAAAATTTGAGTTTGTGTTGATTTTAGAGATTTAAATCAAGCATGTCCGAAAGATGACTTTTCACTGCCAATTACAGAACTCATGGTTGATGCGACCAGGAGACATGAGGTCTTATCTTTCATGGATGGTTCCTCTAAATACAATTAAATTCGAATGGACCTTAAGGATGAAGAACTTACTGCATTTCGAACCCCCAAGGGAGTTTACTGCTACAGAGTGATGCCCTTCGGACTCAAGAATGCCGATGCCACATATCAACGTGCAATGCAAAAATTTTTTGATGATGTACTACACAAAAAAGTTGAATGTTATGTTGATGACCTGGTCATAAAGACAAGAAGACGTGAAGATCATCTTGTTGATTTGTGCAGCATTTTTGAATGGTTTAGGAGATATCAACTAAAAATAAACCCCTTAAAGTGTACCTTTGGGGTTATCTCTGTCAAGTTCCTTGGATTTATTGTCAGGCATCAAGGCATCAAGATTGATCAATCAAAAATAGAGGCTATTCTAAAGATGCCAGAGCCTCGCAATCTGTATGACTTGAAAAGTCTTCAAGGAAGGCTTGCCTACATACGAAGATTTATCTTGAACTTCGCCAGACGTTGTCATTTGTTCAATAAACTAATGAAGAAGGGTGTTCCTTTTGAATGGGATGATGCTTGTCAGAATGCTTTCGAAAATATCAAATAATATCTCATTCATCCCCCGGTCCTCACAGCACCAATTCAAGGAAAACCATTAATCCTTTATATTGCTGCCCAAGAATAATCATTAGGAGCACTCTTAGCACAAGTTAATGACGAGGAAAATAAAAACGCATTATACTATCCGAGTCGAACATTAGTAGGTGCAGAACTAAACAACACACCTATTGAAAAAATGTGTCTTGCATTAGTCTTCACAACAAAGAAGTTGAGGCATTATATGTTGGCTTATGTTATTTATCTCATTTCAAAATCTGATCCTGTCAAGTGCATTATGTCAAGACCAGTTCTCTCGGGAAGGTTGGCAAAATAGGCACTTCTATTATCTGAATATGACATAGTTTATGTTCCACAAAGAGCAGTCAAAGGACAAGCATTAGCTGATTTTCTTGCAAATCACCTGATCCCTGTAGACTGGGAGCTACCAAAAGAATTGCCAGATGAAGAAGTTTTCTTCATTGACTTCATACCGTGTTAGAAGTTATACTTTGATGGTGTTGCTCGAAGGTATGGAGCTAGTGCAGGTGTGATCTTCATTACTCTAGAAGACGAAGTATTGTCTTACGCAATTACCTTGATAGAGTCTTGCTCTAATAACATGGTAGAGTACCAAGCTTTGATCATTGGCTTAGAAATGGCACTTGATATGCAGCTCTCTCAGTTGGAAATCTATAGAGACTTACAGCTAGTGGTTCATCAGGTTTTGGAGTTGTATGATGTTTGCAAACCAGATTTGATTCCATTCTATCGCTGTGCAACTCAACTTATGAGTCAGTTTGATCGAGTCACCATTGAAATGTACCACGCGGTGAAAACAGATATGCTGATGCTCTTGCCAATCTTGTTATCATGCTTACAAAATCCTATTACCAAATAATTTCAGTTCCAGTTTGTCAAAGATGGGTAATACTTCCGTTACTCCCTGAAATGGAGGAAATTACTACCATTTCAGTAGTGCAAGTTGAAAATGAAGATTGTATGCAACCTTTGATTGATTATTTGTAGTATGAAAAATTATCAAATGACCCACATCACAGAACTGAGATACAATAAAAAACTCCTCAATTTATTTATTATAAAGGCATCCTCTATCGTCGTTCATTTGATGGTATTTTTCTGCGATGTTTGGATGAAGATGAAGTTGCTCAAGCACTCGAAGAAGCTCATTCTGGAATCTGTGGTGCTCATCAATCAGGGCCTAAATTACATTTCCGCATAAAGAGAATGGGGTATTACTGGTCCACTATGGTACAAGACTCAATGAGTTACACTAAGAAATGTCAAGCTTGTCAGTTCTATGCCAACTTCATTCACTAGCCACCTGAACCATTGCATCCTATAGTCGCATCATGGCCTTTTTGATGTATTGGGACTTGATGTCGTAGGACCTTTGACTCCAAAATTGTCAGCAGGACATCTTTACATCTTAGCAGCAACCGATTATTTCTCCAAGTGAATGGAAGCAGTTCCTTTTAAAGAAGTGAAAAAAGAAAATGTTGTCGACTTTATTCGAACAAATATTATATATTGGTATGGTGTACCTCGTTACATTATCGCTGATAATGGAAGACCATTTGTCAATAGCCTCATGGCCAAGCTCTGCATCAAATTTGGGTTTGTACAACATAATTCATCTATGTACAATGCACCAGCCAATGGACTCGCAGAATTCTTCAATAAAACCTTGTGCAACTTATTAAAGAAAGTTGTCTCCAAATCAAAGAAGGATTGGCATGAAAGGGTTGGCGAAGCTCTCTGGGCGTATCGAACAACATATCGAACTGTAACACAAGCTACTCCATATTCCCTTGTGTATGGCGTTAAAGTTGTTCTTTCTTTAGAACGTCAAATTCCCTCCTTGCAGATCACCTTACAAGAAGAAACTAGATGAGCTTGAAGCACTTGACGAGAAGAGACTAGATGCACAACAAAACTTAGAATGTTATTAAGCTAGACTTTCCAAAGCCTTCAATAAGAGGGTTCATGTCCGATCATTCCAAATAGGAGATTTGGTCCTTACAATTTGAAGACCCATTGTCATGTCGCATCGCACCGGTGGAAATTTCATGCCAAAATGGAATGGTCCATATGTGGTGAAAGAAGTCTACACCAACGGCGCATACAAGATTGTTGACAAAGATGGCTTGAGAGTTGGCCCAATCAATGGAAAATTTTTAAAGCGTTTTTATGCTTGAAAACAAGCAACGCTCCTTTATGCACGAGCTTAAACTGCATGTTACTCCTAGCCCGCATGAGTTAAAACTGTGCACGGCGCCAACCTATTAAAAAAAACTTGTTGTTCCTGGCCCGTATGAGCTAAAACTGTGTACGGTTTGACCAAAAATAAAGATTCATGCGCTCTTTTACGCACGAGCCTAAACTGCATGTTACTCCTGGCCCGCAAGAGTTAAAACTGTGTACGGCTTAACTAAAAAAAAATATTTTACTCCTAGCCCGCATGAGTTAAAACTGTGTACGGCTCAACCAAAAAATAAAAAAAAATTTGCTCCTGGCTCGCATGAGCTAAAACTATGTACAACTCAACAAAAAAAAAATTCCTTCAAAATTATGATATCTAGGTTATTTGAGAATTAATTTTTTTTACAATAAATAATAGCAAAAAAAAAATTCAAATCTAAACATCCATATTTGCTATATATATATATATATATAAAGAATTACAATTGAGGAGTTATGAGATCATAAAAATTTTTCAACCCAGTCGAACGAGGCTAGTGAAACAAATTCCTTCTCTAACATGGATCGCATCTTGTCTATATCTTGTATCTCCTCAACACTGTGAATAGGAGACTCTTGGAGTTCGACACATTCTTTCTCCATCATCATAATAGTCTCTTCAGTGTTCTGTCGTTCATCACGAATGAAATCAATGCTAGATGCTGCCTCGGACCTCCGATCTTGCAGTCGTCAGATTTCATCATCAAGACTCAATAACTCTGCTTCAGATTTCAACAGTTGTTCATTCAAGCCAAGAACTTTGAATTGTCCTCCTAATATCATGCTATCAATTGTCGCCAACCTTCTATCTCTTTCTCCAAACGTTAACACTTTGACACTTTCTAAGCATTTTGAAAGATACTCACCTACTTTCATAAGAAGACAATCCATTTTTCTCACCAAAGGATATGTGTCAACATAGAAACTTTTTTTAAGAGTATTTTCAATACTTGAAGACTTGGAGATCCACCAGGTCTTCAATCTAGAGAAGCCATTTTTCATGGCATAATCAAATTCACCCTTCAAATATGGGGGCATCCCGGTCAAAATTATTTTCTTTGCCAATCTTTCAAAAGTAATTGCTTCAACAGGAGGACCTAACACAAATAAAGATATGCGATTAGTTGCATACTAATCGAAAGGGCAACTAGATCAGGCTAATAAAATATACCTGAGACAGATGAAAAACATTGGCATTAGTCTTGGAGATCGTGCTTCACTAAGTCCATATTGCTCATGAAGAGTATTCATAACATAATTATTAATAGCCTCTTGCCCTGCTTGTATAACACATGAAGGGTTTGTTTTAGAATTAACTTTCCTTTCACATGGATTGGTATGTTCTCCATCAACCAAAGGAAGAATCTCACCAATGCCGGAAAGAATGGACATGGTCTGATCGTCGTTATCAAATAAAGCTCCAATGATATCATTGTCAAGATTTTAGTCTCCACAAATACCTGAGATGGAATTTAATGTGGCAAGATCTGGGAGAGGAGGAAAAGCTTAAAAAATAATAATAAAAGGATAAGAGGTTTGAAATATAAAAAAAAATGATAATAGTAATGAAATTTTGCAAGTACCTTTATTGTGGGATCGCAGAGATAATTCTAAAAGAGTTGATAAGTCATTCAGAGCATCACAAGATGGGTCAACCCTACCTGTGGGAGACTTTATAGTTGTATGATTTGCACCATCTTCTGACCGGGCACAAGCCAAATTATGCTCAGCTTCTATAGCTCTTGTTTGGCACCTCTGTTGAATTACCTGCTTAGTAGAACCAAGATTATCAACTAGTACAATTGCGCTTGGAATCCTTCCACAATTCGAGCCTTTATCCTATTTCTTGAAAATACCCTTAGACATACGGGATGAAAGGAGTGCATGATCAGATTTGTTTGATGAACTCACTTCAGCAGACTCTGGGATGTTTAAAGGATGAACAAATCGAACATTAACTGATCTTGAAACAGGTGTTGTGACCTTTAACATCTTCGGAACTGGTTGTTATTGGGAATTCAAACAATTCTTTGAAGTGTCCCATTTTTGAAGACGTGAAGGAGCTTTAGCTACTATAGGAAGGGATTTCCCCTTCCCTGACCCGTCAGCTTGAGCTTTGAATTTAAAATTCTTAGATTCACTAGCTAACAAGGTTTTACAATTGATGCCATCTAGGTGTGGGAGTACATCATCTTTCCACTAGTTGTTATAACTATTGTGACATTGATTCTCAATGCGAGCGCAATTATTAAGGACATGAAATCCTACCCCACTATTTATACTGGTTAAACTCAACCACGCTCGATATAAAAAAGAGGCATCAAACGAAATTATTGATGGATGTGATGGAGTACCCGACAATCTTTGATGAAATCCATGTTGCCTAGCAAAGCGATGTGGGTTATACATCTCAAGAATGCAAACTGGCCCACGACAATACATGACGTGTCCACCTCGTATACTTGTCATTAATTTAGAGGTTTCATCTGATCTTTGTCCATCATCACAACGAGGTCCTCGGTTCCCAGAATACGGAACTGGTTGCCAGCAAAAGTCACTGGAACTCATACTTCCACGTGGAAGATCTCAAAATCTTTTCGCTTCTTCCTCATAAAAAAGATAAGCATTCAATGTACCTTTGAATTGTCGAAGCAAAGGACAATCAAGCTCCTCATAAACCTCAACATAAACTCTCCAAGGGAAATGTAACNCTGAGGGAAATGTAACGTTGCCCAAGCATAAAAGTAATGACTTGAAAAAGCATAAGAAGTCATCTCGAGGTTCTTTTGATCATACTGGGTACTGCATGTCTCATATAAACCTTTGTAAATGCTTGTACCAATAGGGGGAACCAAGCTATATGTGACTCTAGCAGCCATTCGGGAGGCAGTCTTGAAGATAGTTGGACGAATAACATCATCCGATGAAGGAAATACAAAGCGGCATAGCCATAAAGTTAAATAAGTTGTAATCTCCAAGTCTTCACGTCTTGTGATATCAAGGTCAAGATCTAAAAGAATGAAGGGATCATCACCATTGACCTTTGTCGTCATAGGTTGTATTTTTGCCTGAATAGGTCTCACCAATCTTCGCTTTGCTCCTTCACTTTTAAAGCAATTTGTCATGGTTGCTTTATGTGCCTTGCTCTTCTTAGGATCCGGAGCACGTGCATCATCCTTGAACCAAAAATCAAGCCAATCTGAATGACGGGAACAATTATCTCCTTTCTTCTTATTAATTAAGACAATAGCTTTAAACAAGTGCAGACAAGTCACAGGAAGAACACTAGTATCAGAGTCTCTCAATTCAGTCAAGCTTGGAATAACTTTTTCAAAATATTCACCATGGATTGAAAGACCGGTGACGTGTCCCATTTCCCAAAGTGAGATTCCAATTTCTCCTGCTCTCGTAACAAATGTATTCGTCTGTGGACACCAAACTTCACAAAGGGCACGATATACACTGTTGGGTCAAGAGTAGTCAAAAGAAGCTCCACGCACAGCATAAGCCAGTTCATCGAAACCCTTATCTAACAACTTACGATAAATTCGTTAAGACCACTCCCAAAACCCATTTAGATATTGAATATCTCCCCTTGGGTTCAATGAACATCCCTATCTCGCAGTTCTCTGGTTGATAAGATCAGCAACAAGTGGTTTTGGGATAAGATGATGTTTGGAATGATACAAATGCGCGCAAAGTAAGGGTAGTCGATCTGACTTAACCGTGTCACTTTTGTGCATGTTCTCTGGCAGAGGATATTCACTAATTATTGGCATATGAAGTTCAGGTTCACAAATTATTCTCGAGCGACTGCAGGGACCAGTCATGGGCTCAAGAACTTTGAGTGATAATGTTGACAGCTCGTTAATTCTGTAGTTCTTTATCACAATAGTTGGAAAACACAAAATTTTGTCTTTCAGAATTGGATCTTTTGACTCAGCAATCCACTCATCGGAAGGTAAGTTCTTTCTTTGACTTGAAATTTTGATAATTTTTCTCGATTTGACTTTTTGAGATGAGGTCATCTGAAAATAATAAAAATAATAATAAGAAAAAAAAAGAGGGCAAATAATAATTTAAAAAAATAATATATATATATATATATATATATATATATATTAATAAAATAAACCTTGATGCTATAAATAAAATGGGAATAAAATAATAATAATAGTGTCAATACAAGAATACTAGCAATACAAGAATAGATAAGTCACCTATGGCAGTTACAGAAGTTACCTAGGGCTGTTACAGAAGTTATATTGGGCTGTTACAGAAATCACCTTGAGCTGTTACAGAAGTCACATAGGGCTGTTACAGAAGTTACCTAGGGCTATTACAGAAGTCACCTTAGTTGTTACAGAAGTCACTTCGGACTGTTACAGAAATCACCTTAGGCTGTTACAAAAATCACTTTAGGCTGTTACAGAAGTCACCTATGGCTATTATAGAAGTCACCTTGAACTGTTACAGAAGTCACATTAGGGCTGCTACATAAGTCACCCTAGAGCAGCCACAGGAATTACCTAAGACTGTCACAGAAGTCACCTAAAATTGTTACACGAGTCATCCAAGTTGACACAAAAATCACTTAAGGTGGTCAAAAGAATAATAATAATAAAGTAAAATAAAATTCTTGTAACTGAAGTCCCCTATAGTTGACATAAAAGTCATTAATTGGAATGGATGTCACCTAGAGTAACATTCTTGGGAAAAGTTATTTAAAATTAAAATTTTTAGTGTAAAGTCAACCCAATGTTAAATTCTTAGAACAAAGTTTCTTGAGAAATGATTCTTCAAAAAAAAAAACACTGTTTAATCATCTGATATAATAAGGCTTAACGTCCAAGTTATCGGCTTTAAACGAATGGTCCACAATTGGATGACGAAGGCTTTGGTTCAAGAATATTGTAGAATTCCACAATCATTCAATGATTAAAAAATATATTATTAAAATTGTTATTCAAAACACTACGGAAACAAACATTGAAAAAAATAAAAACAAAAAAAATAATAATAAGAGGAATACTAGAAATTAAAACCACTTGAAATCAATAAGCCACTGGGCAAATTCTTATCACACTCATAAGAATAGTTAATCAAGAATTTGTCAAGATTCTTACAAAGAGATTTGAAGTCTAAGATACCTGAATCGAAGAAAAAAAAATATGTTAAGATGCAAAAGGATTTGAAAAAAATTAATTAATCAAGAGTGCCCAAGAATTATAAAATAAAATAAAAGGAAAAAGAAAAGAGCATTAAAAAAAAAAAGAAGAAAAAATTTAAAGCTCGTAAATCTACAACTTGTACAATCAAGATGACTATAAACAAATAATTGTTATTTGACTTGAACTGTATTACATACTAAGTCCTATTAAAACTACACACACACAAAAGGCAAGTAAAAGAATAAAAAAATCGAAGAAGGCCACGAACAAGAAATCAAGAAACAAGAACCAGAAGAAAAAAAAAATTGAATGTGGGCAATCACGGAAAAGATGGCAAAAAAAGAGACGAAAAAGTAATAGAATAAAAAAAAAAAAACCTAGAGGTTGCTTGTAATGAAAGCAAGGCTGCCGACTTGCCAAAAACAAAAAAAAATGGCTTCCAAACTATTGAAACTTGGAATAAAAAATATTGAAATCTGGAAGAAAAGAAACATACAGTAAGGAATAAAACGTAAAAGACAAATTTTCGTTAATAAAAGTACGACACTATGCCAACTGAAAAATTCTTGTAAACAAAATCTTAGAAAAGTCATTCAATTGAGGTCTTAAAAAAAAGAAACCATTATGGATGGATTATTATGGGCCAAACAGTGAAGCATTCATGTGTAAACATCTTAAAAAGAAAAAAAAAAAAAAAAAGAAGACAGTCATGATAATAATGTCATGAGAAATTTGAAAGTTTAAAATTTGTACAACAAAAAAAAAATTAAATAAATAAATAAGTAAAATATGTTTGAGATCAAACTCTTGAAAACTAGAATCACTTGAAATCAAATTTTTAGAAAAATCTCCTAATTGTCATGACAAGAATCAATTTAAGGTCAAGTTCTTTAAAATACATATAAACCTAAAATTGAGTTACCAAACAAAAAAAAAAAAAAATTCAAGAAACAAAATAGTATCAAGGAAATCGTGTCTTGATGAAGTGCAATAAAAAAATAAATAATAACTGAAGAACCCAGAAAAGGCAATGGAATAACTAAGATTGAACAAACAAAACATAAAATAACATAATGATCAATCAAAAAATTATTAACACTGCTAAACAGGTTTGTAGGAAATACAAAGAAATTTATATCGGACAAAGGAAGAATTAAAAAATAATACAATATTTTTTATTGAGTTGATACACTTTTAATCAAGACAAAAAGATAATAATAATAATAAAACAAAATAAAATCAAGATACCTAATTATGATATTGAATCTAGTGTAAATTCTAAATTTGGGTCTATTATCGAATTGAAAGCAGCCACAAATTTTGTTTCTATGCTCCTTGCCAATAAAAATAACTGGAATACAAAACAGACAAAAAAAAAATATAAACAAAATTGTCAGGAACAACTAAAACAGACAAAAGGAATTAAATAATAAACAAAATAGCACAAGTGCAAGCCTCTATCACCAAAATTATAATGAAATTATCAAGCTAAAAAAAAAACTCGTACCTTATTACTGAAATCAAATTGCTCATAAACCCCCTTGATAATTGTAACAATTTAAAACACTCACAATCTCATATACATATATAGATATTCTAGTTCTATGTATTCAATTTAAAATAAGTATTTGTTATCCTAATTATAGATGAATTAAAAGTCTATATTTTAGGACTCATATATTCAAATAAAAATAGAATTATGAAGCCTATATGGTTTTGGACTCAATATTAGTAAAGGACTAAAAAACAATAACTGAGTTGAATTCTATCATATTTAGAGTTCAACTTGGATTATAATTCCAAATAAAATAAATTAAATCAAATTCCTTTTAAAATTAAAGTACAAATTGAGACCTATTTATATATTTATAAAATATTAAATATGTAAATAAGTCTCGAGGGGGCATTTGTAGACATTAAAAATTTAATTAACAAATTAATATCTATTAGATAAATAAAATTGGGTTGGACCTAAATTCCGTAACCTAAATAATACAAGCCCAAATTTAATTAACAAAACTTGTTAAATTAAATTAATTTAGACCTAAATTCCATAACCTAAATAATACAAGCCTAAATGCAATTAATGAAGCTTGTTAAATTAAAATGAACTTAAATTCCCTAGGCTCAAATTAAATAAATTTTTAAAAGGTAAAGTGGGTTGTACTTAAATTCCATAAAACTTACAAATTTATGGGTAGTCCACTACTTAAAGCCCATATAAGAGTAATAAAGATTCTTATATGGATAGCTACTCCTACCACTATAAATAGAGGTCTTGGATTAGGCCAAAAGGGAGAAAAAGTAGAAGAAGCCAGGGAGAAATGTAGATCGGCGAAGCTCTGCTCGAAGTTCACTAAACCCTTAAAACCTTGCAAGTTCATTTCCAAGAAGAAGAACACACTGCCAAAGTCCTTCTTCAAGAAATTCAAATCATCTTCAAGCTATTACAAACGAAGAACGGAGAGGAGATTCATCAAAAGCATCATTAAATTGAAGAGTAGGAGATACATTGATCCAGCTCTCGTTTTCATCAAGCCACCAATTGAAGAGTGAGAAATACGCCAATTAAGCCCTCATCTTCATCAAATTTCTCATCTTCACCAAATTTATCAACTTCATCAAATTCACCGAGAATCAGAGGACAGTACAAAGTGAGAAGCATGTCAAAGAGAGTCAACACTCAAATTTTTTTTACTTAAAGTCAATCAAATTGACTATTGTAATTTGACTTTATTTTGTGTTAATTCATTTCATGAAATTTTGTCGTTTCTTAACAATAAACTATTTGCATTTGACCCGTAATACTCCTCTTCCCTCTCAGTAACAAATATAAATAACCAAATATAAATTTTGAGGAAATGCATTCCTAATATTATTCATCCACCATCACGATCAAGTGAGAGCTCAAGCATATGTTAAAAATGAAAAAAAAAATTACAGTCCAATGTTTGTTTTAAGTGCAATAAACGTTTAAATTGTCATAGGGAACTTTTCTGATGCAAGAGTGGCCACCACCCAAACAAACCAAATAAGTGCAAAGCGAGAACCTAGAATTGGTCAATGGATGAGTGGGGCTATATCGTGGTGCCCATTTGAATTTATTGTTTGGCTTGCCTAGAGAGAGAAAAAAAATAGGGTTTATAATGGACATGAATTGATTCTATTTTTTGATTTTCTAAACATGTAAAATGGTATTACTACAAACTTGGAACAATATTTTTGAGAAAAGAAAACAAACTGAATAGGGTTAGTCATTACAATGCACCTACGACCTTCAAGAATTGGTTAATTTCAAATCATTGCACTCCTTTATGCCACTGGTCCTCTCCTATGTGGCCAGGGTCATCAAACAAGCCAATGAAGCTATATTTTGATTTATTTATGCAGTAGTAGGTGATATTAAATTATGTCAGGAAATGCATGATTCAGACATGAGAACAAACCGTTCATTTGACTTGTCGAGGAAAGCATTAGCAACGAGTATTCTCTTGGCATTACAGGTGCTCATCTTCTCCCCCCTTCTAACACCTGTTGCAGAAGAAAGGAAATATTAAATTAACAAAATCTGGAAAAAAAAATAAATAGTACTTGTTTTGAAATGACTACAGATAATGTATATGATGTTCTCTAAAAACTTTCATTTTTTGAAAACTTCTCTCAAAATGGTGTATAAAATGTATTGAATGTCGGATGAAGTCATAGCAACTACATTTTGAAGAAGATGAGAAATTTGGAGGAAGAACAAATGTCAAAAAATAATATTTCATTCATAGTTTCACCTTCTTTAAGTTTGATTGCAAGGAGAGTGTTTATTATTTAAACTCATTGTATGTATATATTTAGTGCATTTAATGATAAAATTGAATTTTTCCAATTGAACTGATGTCTATAGTAAGTCATAGAATATCAAAAGTTTGCACAATTAAAGTTACATTGTATTGATTTAGTGATAGGACACAACTTGAACTTGTAGTTTGAAATATTAAATAGTCATGCAAATTAAAAAAGATTTTACTGTATATGGACATTTTAAAAAAGATGGACATAATAGGAAATCAAATTTTTTGCATCTCTATTGACATTATAAAGTTGTATAAATAGACTTGCTAAACCAGAATTCTTGGAAGTTTAAGAGCCAAACAATTAAGTTTGCGGTTGTTTCACAATTAAAATAATATATTAATGTATTTAATATAAGTATAGAACTCTAAAAGCATGACATTTGTTGTTTTATCAAGGTTATTATAGTTGATCAGAAGTTTTTCACTTTTGTTGACAGTTTAGAATAATATAAATTTGTTAAATTGATTTATTCGAATCAGATTAAATTTTTGCATTGTTAATTGAATTGGATATGAACCATGAAAAATAAAATTTGTCAGATAATCGGATTTGAATCGATCCAATCCAATCCGTTGTTAGATCTACCTGGTAGTGATGGCACTGTAGGTAATTGAAGTTTTTCTAAAGAATTAATAGTTAGCTATTTTGGATATGGGCAGTTACTTCACCTCCTCTGCCATAGGAGCGGGTCTGAGGGACTAAATTAGTGACTATAACCAAAGCCTTTTGTCTCCCTTTTTACATGCCTATCTTTATGCTTCTCATGCCATTTATCTCATCCCATAAAAAAATCAAATCATTCGGAAAGCTCTTATTCTTCTCCCATAGAGAAGAGAGAGATGGAAGATGAGATACATGAGAATAGACCAAATGGGGCTAGCAGAGAGAGCCCTGAGAAAACATGTTCAAAAAACCACCACCACCACCACAACAAAGAACAAGATCGATTTCTTCCAATAGCCAATGTTGGTCGTATTATGAAAAAGGTGATTCCGGGCAATGGAAAAATCTCTAAGGATGCTAAAGAGACTGTTCAAGAATGTGTATCCGAATTCATTAGCTTTGTCACCGGGGAAGCATCCGATAAATGTCAACGAGAGAAAAGGAAAACAATCAACGGTGATGATATTATATGGGCAATCACAACCCTTGGGTTCGAGGATTACATAAATCCACTTAAACAATACCTAAACAAGTACAGAGAGTTAGAAGGGGAGAAGCTTAACGTTCCTAAGCAACAACGTCTACAAGTACTCCAAGAACAGAAACATGATATACCTTNGAGAAGCTTAACGTTCCTAAGCAACAACGTCTACAAGTACTCCAAGAACAGAAACATGATATACCTTATAACAGTGTATATTCTTCGACGAATCTCATCTCTCAGCCACCTTTTGTATCGACCGATCAGCCATTTTCATTGCCTTTCTCCCAAAGTTCGATTCAGAAGCAATTACAGCAACAGGAACAAATTGACTCAGTGGGGCATTGGTGAGGAAAAAGAAACGCTTTTGGTTATGTTGTAATGCATAAGATACCTTTTTGAATATACTTACTACTAAGTAATATACATACTATTACACATTGTTCCATATAGTTTAGGAAATGTACTCCCATTCTGTTTTGTGCATTAGACATGAATAAGATGCATTCAGTTCAATGTGTAAATGTTGCCCAATGCATAATCTATTTTTCTTTTTGATTTTTAGTTTGCAATACTAATGTCTGTAGCATGGGCACTGTGCATATTCATGTTCTATTTCATATAATTTTTGGCGATGCATATGGTAGTTGTTGGAAGATCGAAACACGGGAAAGTGAAAAAATTTTATTGGAGCACCAAAAATATATTATTCTGAACACTTAGAGGTTGTGTGTTTGGAGAATGAGTTAAAGGGGGTTAACACTAATTGGGAAGCAAAAAGTGAGGCTGAAAATCTAATTCGAGTTTATCCATAACCCAAAATAAACAGTTAATGTCTTTCCCCATACTTGGGTTTAATGAAACCCACGTGAAGAGTGGTTAAAAAACCAAATCAACCTCAATTCACTGATTTACTCTTTGCTTAATAAAAGCCCTCCACCTTTTCTCTTTTCTTTCATAATCACTACCTTTCACAACCACTACCTCTTTCAACTTCTAAGGCAATGAAAGTCAACCATTGTTAAATATGGTTTTCATTGGAGGTATTGATTTATTTTTCATGTATTAATTGTTTGCATATAATTGTTCTCAAGTTGATTCATTTTGCCATTTGTAGTAATACTATCCTTATGGTGGTTATGTATTCTTGGATTAGATTGACTAATGAATTTTGAATCAGTAGGCCGTTTGTTTTATGTTGTTTTGAATCTATTTCTTTTGCTTTCTTTCATATAGAATCGATAGGCAGAAATGTGCCCTTCCATTACTGGAAGAACTTTTACTCTCAATGTGATGTCTAGTGGCATGGATGAAACCAGAAATGTTGCTTTGCAACTAGTATGCAGAAGGGGCCTTCTTCTTCATCTCCCTTCATTGCTTGAGACCTTAACCGGTATATGCTAAGGGGGCATAAGAGTCAAGATACCCTAATAATGTCCATTACATCATCTTTGTCCATGGACCCCACAGAAGTCAAAGTATGCTTACCAAACATTGGCAAGAATAGGATTTAGCGATATATCCAAGCCAGATGGTTGGGTGAGTTTGATTTGGATGGGAATTTTTTTTTTTTTTGGTATCCTATTCAGTCCATTTCAGGCATCCAAACACACCCTTAACCACCATACTCTTGGATTTCAATAACCCATCGGTGATTAATGAAACAAAATGGAAAATTGATGCAGACAGAAAAAAAATATTTTTTATTTGTTAGAGGAAATGAAATGCGTGTTAATTCAAAGAAGATGAACAAAAAACTCTTCTTGAATGCCTTTAGATGGTCACTCATATGTCTTCAGGGAATTCACCAAGCAAGAGAATCGGGTCTACAAAATAAATAAGACAAGGGAGAATAGAGAGAAAGGCCAAAAACTTACGCACAAAGGAAGTGTTTATGGCCAGCCACTAACAGTCCTTTATAGTTTATTTAGTTACTCTTCGACTCTACCTTGGTATCTTTGTTGGATTAGGAATGGGAGCTGAATAGACAATCATCCACCTTGGATTTAATTGGATTATTTGGTCAACTAGTCAACACTTGACTAAATATTCAATGAATTATTTTCAATGCCAGAAATTGAAAATAACTGTAGTCAGGGTTGGTGAAAATTATTATGAAACCCTCCATGCTAAAACGAAGATAATACCCCTCACGTCAATTGGTGTAAACATTATTTTATATAGTGAATGCTAAACTAATTATCTAATTATTTTAATATTTTTTATTTCTCGTCTCGTTTAATCACAGGAATGTGGATCCACTGGCTTGTTCTAATTAATGCTCCATCATCCTTAAACATCTTTCCCAAAGAACCTATAANACAGGAATGTGGATCCACTGGCTTGTTCTAATTAATGCTCCATCATCCTTAAACATCTTTCCCAAAGAACCTATAATGTTGGCCTTGTAAGATTAATGAGTTAAAGCAACTAAAATGATCATAGTTCTCAGAACCGAATCGAACATTGAATCGGCAGAAGAATCGAATCAATGGTTCACTAGTTCAATCATTGAGTCAACTGGTCAGATCGGTCGCATAATAAAAATAATAAAATATATTATTAATAATGATAAATATACTAAAAAATTTGAATAGGTACAAAAAAAATATTTTTATACTATGGTAGATCAAATAAGAACACAAACAAAATTCACAAATCACCTATTTTCTTTGAGTATTTATCAAAATCTAATATAATATCAACAATCCACAAATAGGAATTACAAATTAACATAAGTAGTAGTATTATGGTGATGAAAAAACATTAAAAAAAAAGATTGAAATAAAAGCTATAAAGCAAGAAGAGAAGATGGCCAAGGCTAATGGTACACTGCTAAGTGCTTACAGTGTATCCCACATCGGAAAACAATAGCAAAGAAGCACAACTCTGCTTCTATAAATTGGTGAACCACAACCGCCTTGAATGGTCTATGCCATTGATTTAACAGCCCGATGACAGCTATGATGAGTTAGAATGTATTANTCTAATGGTCTATGGCATTGATTTAACAGCCCGATGACAGCTACGATGAGTTAGAATGAATTATTTTAGAACAAAAAAGTGACCTGTGGGATTTGGTTGAACGTTTTGGTTTGCACTGATTTTGTAAAAGTATGTACGGTTTGAATGGGTTTTTAACTGTTTGATTGGTTAAGCAGGCCAACCTTAAAACCGGATTGACTTAGGTCGGTCCAAATAGTTAAAAATTACTTGCCATGATTCTGGAATGATATCAAACATGCAAATACACTAAGTAGTAACACCAAAAATGGTTCATGTAATTAAGAACAAAATAGCAACACATAAGGCCCCAATAATAAACCAAAAAGAACTATAGTCAATACAATTAACCTGAATGCAGACCAGACAAGGAAAGAAAATCAAAATTTTAGATTAAGGTTAGGATTTAACATTATGTCCTTAAGAAAGATTTTTCCCCCATACTGGTGCTAATGGAAAATTTGACAGCTGCCTCTCAAGGATACAATGATCTTTATGCAAACATAAGCAGCACTCTAATGAACCAGAATGTGTTTTGTATTTTCAGAAACGGATATTGTTAGTGACAAAGGTTATGAATATAATGACTCTTTAATCATGAGATTTGTTCGTACTTGTGCTTTGTTCAGAATAACCACCATCAATCATATGCAACCTAGAAGATACCATTCATGTCTATTATGAATAGACACAAAAATTCAAATGCAATCAAACTAGTGTGAATTTTGAATTCCAACAAGCAGGAATTAAAACTTGGGTTAAGAAATTAAGAACCCATTTAGCAAACTAATTTTTTCCAAAAAATAAAAGTTTGGATCTAACCCACACCCATATCTAAACCGACCAAGGAGGGCGAACCCAAGTCCATCTAGATCCTCTCTTGTNCTAATTTTTTCCAAAAAAATAAAGTTTGGATCTAACCCACACCCATATCTAAACCGACCAAGGAGGGCGAACCCAAGTCCATCTAGATCCTCTCTTGTCCACAAAAGTGGGGTACTCCTTAGGGCCCAACCCTTAGAGCAAACTTTGGATATATATGCTCATCAAATCGTTCTTGCCTAACCAGTATGGCATTGTGTCAAATCCCATATTGTCCCAACCTCTATTTCTATATTCTAAGAGGATCAGTTTGTGGTATATTTTCTCATTCACCTCTTACTCGATTTGAGCAAATGAATGTACGATGTTATTCTCCTCACTGAGTAGAACATGAGCATATGAAAAGTTATTCAAAATGATGAGTGTGTCCCATTTTAACTTAAGCTCAAAGTTAACAAAAATCTATTTTTTTTGTCCAACAAATAACACTATACTTTAGTAATGACAAGCACTCTGCTTTAGTAATGTATTATTGTAACATGCATTAGAATCCATGGTGTTGACTTATTCATGATCCTTGTAGAGTTGTGATGCCCCAAAATCTAGGGGTCATTTCTCAACCCGTTGATCACCCATCAATCCGCAGAAATACCTGTGAGTACCGTATAACCTAATACCATGTTGTTACACCCTATTCATTGAGATAATAACTAAAATAGAATTGGGCAAAGTCTCCTTTGTATGGAAGCTCTACCCAATACATAGCCTATGCATATAATAATCATACCACAATTCCAAGTTCCATATCCCAAAATATAGGCTTAATATTCAACTAATTACATCATCCAAGTGAAAGAGCTCAAATTGTGAAGGCTCAACAAGGTTACATTTAAAATTTCAAGTTTTTGGAAGAGGTACTGGTACCTCGGATAAATGGGACCAGTACCTGAGCCATCTGTTTACCACGTACCAATACTTGGGCCCACTGTCTACGAGATACAGGTACTTGTGAGCATAGGATCGGAACCTGAGCCCTCTAGAAGCTAGGTACCTGTGAGGTACCAGTACCTAGGGCTCAGATATTCCCAAATTTCTTAAAAACATAACTTTTAACCAATAAACTCATTCAACACCTATTCCATTCATTTGTTTTAAAAAAGAATAATGTCCCATTACATGCATTTGTCAAAATACAAGGTTCGTACATAATTTATACAAGGCCAAAACAAAATTACATAATTGATTACAAAATACAATTTAAGAGCCATAATCCGGCTCCGTCATCAACACGGGCCCAAGTGAGGGTTGTCCCCTGAAGCTTGTCGAATGCATGAAATGTATCTCCATAAAGGGTGATCCATGCTCAATAAGGTATTTTGATTAGTAGTTAAAATTAGAAACTTACTATGCCTTTGTAAGACTAATTATGCTTTGATAGAGTTTCAATGATGACATTTCAGGATAAAGATTGTATAAGGGCCTAAAGTTAATGGATACCAAACTTTCATGCAACACCCACATGTTTTGGAACAAAATTGAAGAATTTTGAAACAAGGCATGAACGTTTGAATGCCACTTCACGTTCAAATGTCCTCTTGAATTATTTGAGGACCAGACTGCTGAGGTGATGTTACATGGCATGTTGTAGCTATTCCCTAAGAAGAAAAACAAAGAGGTACTTGACTACCATGTTCAAATGCCAATCTAATTTCGAATGTTGCCTTGAATCATTTGAGGACCAGACTGCTGAGTGTTAGGGCAATGACATATGGCGTGTTGCAGTTATTCTCAAAGAAGAACAAAGGTCAATTGAGTAGGAAGTTCAAACTCCATTCAGCATTCGAACGCCCATCAAGGAAGATAAGAGACAACGTGAAGACCTTTTATTATTCTTACACACTTCTTTGCCTTCTCCTCCTTGCCTATAAATAATCTCATTGTGGGAGCTTCAAAGAGAGCTAGAGCTAGTTGTAGAGTTAGTCTTAGACTTAGACTTACATTTACTTGTATAGAGGGAGATAGATCATCTTTTGGTTGAAGAGGAAATCCTCCAAAAGTGACTAGTTTTCTTCTACTTTCATTATTAGTTTCATTTACTTCCATTGTTTAAGCTTCTTTCTTCCCTTAGAGGAGTGAAACTATTCCACTTTTTTAGAGCTTTACCAAAGCCGTGAAGGGTAAAATGTGATTCACTCATTCTTCGTCGAAGATCGGCCCTTTGTGTAGTGTGTTTTACCTTGTAACTCCTCTACTTGGAGGGATAAGAATCACTCACTTATTTAACTTTACCAAAGCCATGAAGAGTGAGTAATTTCTCATTTACTCTTTAGTAAAAGGTGATGGAAACATATAAATCGTTCGGAATTATATTTGTCCATTTCGTTTATGTTCAATGCTTTATCTTTTACTTTCTTATTGAATGATTGAACGCATCTAGCAAAAGCTAAGGTACTTTGTACAACCATAAGTCCTTTCTATGACATAGACGACTCTCGGCATAGGAGGACTCATTGGTCCTTTGTAAGTACCCCAATTAGATCTTTATGACTACCTTTCAATCTTCACCATTATTGTGCTTC